AAACCTAATTATAGAAAGATATGTGCATTATGAAGAAACTCAACAGATAATTAAAAGATGACATAATTTTGAATTTGGAGGACATTTTGGAAGAAATAAAACTGCATATAAAATTTTGCAAGCTGGATTTTATTGGCTTACTATTTTAGAGATGTTAATGAATATATTAAAACATGTGATGTATGTCAACGAGTAGGAAATATTTCTAGAAGAAATGAAATGCCTCTGAATTACACATTGGAAGTTGAAATTTATGATGTGTGGGGATTAGATTTTATGGGACCATTTATGCCTTCATTTGGAAACTTATATATATTACTTGTTGTTAATTATATGTCCAAATGGATTGAAGCGGTTGTTGTATCTAAATGCGATGCTCGAAGTGTTTCTAAGTTTTTAAATAAAAATAGTTTTACAAGATATGGAATGCAGATGGTAATTATTACTGATGGAGGATCTCATTTCAGGAAAAAAAGAATTAAAAAGTTGATTAAGAAATATGATATTATGCATAGATTTTCTATTGCTTATCATCCTCAGACTAGCGGTCTAGCAGAGATATCAAATCGTGAAATCAAACACATACTAGAAAAAGCTATAGATCCTTATAAATTGGATTGGTCTGCTAAACTAGATACTGCATTATGGGCATACATAACTGCTTATAAGACTCCTATAAGAATGTCCCCATACAGATTAATTTTTGGAAAAACATGTCACTTACCAGTAGAATTGGAGCATAAAGCATTTTGGGCTATTAAGGAATTTAACTTTAATTTAAAAGATGCTAGTGAGAAAATATTATTGCAACAATTTGGGAGATCATTCCATTTCTTATAAATTTTAAGGATGATATTAACATGCAAATTTAGAAAATTACTAGAAGAATATTGGATCTAGAAAGAAATATGAGGAACAAGGATATGAATCAATATGAAAAGGAAGAGCTGAAAGAAAATTTTTAATTTGAGGACTTTGTAGGCATCCCTGGATCTGCAAAAAATTAGGCTATTGATCGAGGATTACCTAATTGAAATTTTGATCCAGGTGGAATCATTTGTCGGTCTGACGACGTTAAACCAAGCACTTTATGGGAGGCAAACCATACAAATAT